TCTGTTTCCCCTGTACTGTGCCTTCCTGTCCACCCTGTACTGTGCTCTGCTTACCCCCTGTATTGTGCCCTCCTGCCTGCCTTTTACTGTGCCCTCCTGCCCACCCAGTACTGTGTCTTCCTGCCCCCCTGTACTGTGCCCTCCTACCCACCCTGTACTTTTCACTTCTGCTCGCCCTGTACTGTGCCCTCCTGCCCGCCATATACTGTTCCCTCTTATTCCTTTGTACTGTGCCCTCCTGCTCACCCTGTACTGTGCCCACCCTGTACTGTGCCCTCCTGCCCCCCTGTACTGTGCCCTCCTACCCACCCTGTACTTTTCACTTCTGCTCGCCCTGTACTGTGCCCTCCTGCCCGCCATATACTGTTCCCTCTTATTCCTTTGTACTGTGCCCTCCTGCTCACCCTGTACTGTGCCCACCCTGTACTGTGCCCTCCTGACCCCCTGTACTGTGCGATCCTTCCCACCCTGTACTGTGCCCTCCTGACCCCCTGTACTGTGCCCTCCTGACCCCCTGTACTGTACTCTTGCTCACAATATAAGCATATATACATGTATAGACGCCATAGGCTGGCAGAGGCATTTATGCTAGGCAGGAGTTTGTACAGAGAGAGGGATAGTGTAAAAAAAAGGAGAGGGAGCAGTGTGTGCAGGAGAAAAGAGAGTCAGTGTATACAGAGATGTAATGTGTAAAGAGGGTAGGACAGAAAGTACAGGGGGCTCATTTAATTTGCGATAATTCCCTAGTTGTGTTTATTTGTTGTATCTAATCAGACTAAAAAGCTATGCCCAATATGTAGCATCATTTACCCACATCCTCTTTTTGCTGTATTGCTTCGCATGCTGCAGGAAACCATCTCCATAGTAGGGGCCCAGTGCATTACTTTGCCCAGGGGCCCATGATACTATTAAGATGGCACTGGTGAGGGGGAAGCAGAGGCATGCTTTGCTGGGCACTGTTTATATCAATGCACACACACGGCTACGAGAACCAGGAGAGCACATGCATGGGTCTCTCCTTTAGGAGCAGCTACCTAAAAGAGACACCTGCAGACAAGCAGGGGGCAGCAACTGTGGAACCAGCCATCTAAGGAAAAATACAATCGTTCAAAGAAGTAGACATACACAATGTGTTAGGCAGGCCATACACTATACAATTTTCTGTTCAATTTCTGCACAATTTCCTTTAGATTTACCTTCAATTATGTAGTGCAAGGGCCTGCTTAATTGGATACAATTGAAAGTGTTGTTTAGGTTTGACCTCATATTATATGGTTTTTGGTAAATCTAAAGCAATTTTATAAAGAAAATTGTGTAATGTATGGCTAGCCTAAGTATGGACTTCTTTCAATTATTTTTTTAAGCTATTACTTCAAAATTCATGCAAAATAAAACAAAGAAATTCTCTGTCCACCAAAAGAAGAATGACTATTCCTTTCTTTTATATAAATATTTATATATTCTAAAATTAAGGTGGTTGTCCTCTGGACTGTATACAGGGCAGCACAATGGCTTAATAGTTAGCACTCCCACCTGGCAGTACTGGGGTCATTGGTGTGAATCCCAACCATGGCACCACCTGCCTGGAGTTTGCATGTTCTCCCTTTGTGTATGGGTTTCCTCCAGGTTCTCCGGTTTTCCCTCGCACTCCAAAGACATGCTGGTAGGTTAATCGGCTCCTGTCTAAATTGTCCCTAGTATGTGTATGTATGACTGTAAGTTAGGGACCTTAGATTGTACTCCCCTTGAGGGTTAGGGACTGATGTGAATATACAATTAATATGTATAGCGCTGCACAAATTGATAGCACTATATAAGTACCTGAAATAAAAAAAAACAATCACCATTTCTGCCACGATGTGCTTCATATGGTCTTTATTAAACTGGATTAATACCTGGTTTAAATATGATTTTGTATTGTTATAGATTGTCCACCAAACCTATTTGTGTTCTGGATCTTGTATTGTTCTGTTGCACTGTAGGCCTATATATCACATGTATTTGGTGACAACATATAATACAGTGTACCTTTACTTCATACTGTTTTCTAGCAGTCCTGAATGCTGCTTTCTTGATAAATAGTTTGTAAAAGAAGAATGACTGCTGCCCCCATAATGTGTCAAGTAAAGTTTAAATTAATTCAGAACACCCGTTGAGGGTTAAGCAGCCCCACTGGTGCAAATTGGATCATACTTTGTTGGGTGTTTTTTTTTTTGCCTTCCTCTGGATCAACTGTGGATATTGGATAGTGTATATAGGGATTTTCTTTTTCTGTGTGTGGTTTTTTTTTTTTTGTTGGTTGAACTGATGGACTTTTTTCAACCAGATCAACTATGTAACTATGATGTAAATAGTAATTTTTTTTCATTGAACCAGTGGACTGAACAAAAACAACTAAAACGGTTCCCTCATCCACACACTTGATGTGGATGGTGGAAACCCCCCCCCCACTGAGCTTTGTATACTACAGGGTAGTTTTGCAGAAGTCAATCCGTAGATCGACTACTGATACAACCTCCCTGCCTGTGTATGGATTGAAATTCAGTTGGTTCAGCAGGGACCAGACAAATTTCAATTAATATATGGCAGGCTTTAGAGACTCAGGAGATGAGAAAGACAGCCAGTGCACTAGCATTTTCAGAAGTAAAAGCTGGCAATGGTCGGCTAAGTAATTAGTTCAGCAGGGATTTTCTTAAGTTGACATATACACTAGATTTTAGATGTGCCCTTTTAGGAGAAAACATAGCAGTACACAGGGCCAGTGCTAGACTATTTTGTGCCCTAGGCAAGACCAGCTACTTGCACCCCCCCAAAAAAAATTAAAAACATTTACAAACCGTAGAAAATATTAAATCAACAAAACATGAAACTGCCAAATTTCTTTTAATTTGCAAAAATAATTGCCAAAGGATGCCACCAGCACCAATAATAAAGACAAAATCAGTGTCAAGGACACACTGTATCTGTGGCTGGCAGTGGCAGGGTGACAGTTGCAGTGCGTGGAGGATGATGGATCCACATTCTGACAGATCCCAGGCTGGAATTCCTCTGGCAAGGGGGGGAGATAAAACATTGTGACAGCAGGCAGCCCAGCCCACACACATACATAGAGAACACTTGAACTGAGTGATCCAACACAGTGACAGATCCGACACAACACACCACCAACAACACTGACACAGATCAGCAGGCCCAGCAGGATGTGGGATTGTGATGATGTCATCAATCACTGACACATTGCACATGTGATGAATGGCTGGCCAGGTCACACACACATAGACATGAGAGATCAGAGTCAGACATTACCTTCCTCCACAGTCGCAGCTCCACCTCCGCTGATCAATGGGAAGAGAAGGGCTGGAACTCCACAGTGATCAGCAGCCACCAGTCGGCTTGCAGTAAGGGACTGAGTCTGAGAGGAACAATGGAAGGAGCAGCAGCTCAGCTGCTACACTGGCCCCAGACACCCGGCATCATCCTTTCTTCCTCCCCTCTGCCGCCCCTCCCTTAGCTGAATGATCAATCATGACATGGCGGCATCCCACACAGAGAGAGTGCTGGCCTATGCTGTGCCCACGTGCCCCTAGGTGGCATTGCGCCCTAGGCAGCCACCTAGTTTGCCTAGTGGAAGCACCGGCCCTGGCAGTACATATGGGTAACCAAATGTCAAGCTAGTTTGTTAATAGAAAAGTTGTACTGGTGACTGGACATTTTGCTGCAGATTCCTTTCCTGGGCTTTCCTGGGTTTTTCTGATGTATCTAAACACATCTCTATTATAGCTGTTCTTTCCAATTTATCTCAGTAATTTAAAGCAGCATTCAGCAATGTACAAATGCCTAAATCTTGCGATCAAGTTGAGTAAGCCTGTAAAAATATAGTAGATGAAGTGTTGGGGATAAAGAATTATGCGTTTCTAGATGCAAGTAGTATATGTGCCATTCCATGCATTTTGTACCCTGGATGTTTCTGCAAGTTTCTGACTTCAAGATCCAGAGTGGGTATGAGTATTTTCATTATGCCCCTGTGCAGGAGCCCTAAAAAGCTATTTCTAAAAAAAAGATATATTGTATCATTTTCGTAACCTGAATGTGTCATATTTTGCAGGTAAACATTATGCCAAGAATTCTACAGCTGCTATGTGTGAAAAACAAGATTTGTGAAATGGTTTCCATCTTTCCAGGTATTACTTGAAAATGAACTATTTAAACCACACAATTATTTTTTTAATTGCTTTTTTTATGTGTTGGGATATATGTGCATGGATATCATAGATTCTGTAACCATCACATTTGCTTGGCGCTGTTATGTATTAGGAACGAAGTATCAATCTTCGATGGTTTTTCTGGTGTCTGGTTTTTTTTTTTTTGTATGTGTGCAACCTATACATAAGCAACCTATACATAAATAAAATATCAAGATGAGTTTGATATTACAGTATAGAAATGACTTTCCAGTTCTGTGATGGAATTCACTTTCAGCAGTATCATGCAATTTGGCAGAGCTAAACCTGCACCGCTGCACTTTTCTGAATGATTCAGATTACATATATAAGAAGTTTACGGTGATGAGAAAATACAGTATAAGCTCTTGCTTGCCATCTGCTGACGGAATTTGGAAAATGCCTGAATTGTTTGTATCTTTCTGTATGTAACAATTAATATGACACACTGACAGGGCTGCTGTTATAAACCACGGGGCCCCATATAGCCAGCCTGCCAGCCCCTCCTGCAAAAAAACATTTTACTATGCTTCAGTTATAAATGAATACTGTGAGTGATTGGTACTGAACACTCATTGTGCTCATTCAGGAAAGGAAGATGATGGTAAATGTGACATATTTACCAGACCTTTCCAGCACTCTCCATCCTGAACGATCCCATTGTGTGATTGTAGCTGCCAGTGGGAAGCTGGCAGCACTGCAGGGGTGGGGGCACACAGGTGGGGCCTTGGAAGCAGGGTGAAACATATGGCTCACAGGGAGGGTGATGAGTGCGGCTGGGTGCAATTGCTGGAACCAGGGGCGGACTGACCATTTGGAAACTCGGGCACTGCCGAGGGCCCGGGGTCAGTAGGGGGCCCCATGAGATGCCCCTGGTATCTTTTTCATAGGCTTTTTTGAGTTTGGACAAGGACACAGAGGCCCCATGATCCCCTATTGCCCAGGGGCCCCATGAGTTGTCAGTCCGCCCCTGACCGGAACCAATCCCCTGTATGGTTCTCTCTGGGGCAGCTGAAAGTCAGTGAGAGGGAGAAGAAGCCAGCTTTCAGCTGCTGCAGAGAAAGCCATAGAGGGGATAGGTTCTAGTAATTGCCCCCCTGCCATGCTGATCACCCTCCATGCCCACATCAAATTCACCCAGCTGCCCAGGACTCCCTGCTGGCCTGGGTCCCATACAGGAGGACTGTTGGTACCCCCCATATCCATGGCCCTGCACACTGGCCTCAGTACTTAGGGGTGTATTTATAAAATATGTGCTTAGTAATTCACCCAGTGAAAGTGTATGTATATTTGTTCTCTATGAATGGGGCAACAAGCAAATGCTATTAGGCTATTTCCTGTGGTGGATTCATTTTTTGATTATTCACAATAAAATACAACAATTTGACCACGATATGGTGCTAAGTATCATAGGAAATTCCCGTGATACCTATTGCTATCCATTCGCCAATATGGTATTTTCTGTTTTGAATCAATAAAAAGCATTGGGCCTGCACAGGAAGAAGCCTAATTACACAAGCTTTATTTTTACCTTATTTGCAGAGAATAACAGCCAGGCCACACCAATCCAACTTTGAAATCGTGCGACTTCCGGTGAAGTTGCACGATTTCAAAGTCGGATGTCATTCCGACTTGAGGTGCGACTTACAAGACATCTGCCCAGATGTCTATGCCATTCGCACCTGAATTAATGCATGTACTACTTTAGACCAAGTCGGAATCGCACTGATATGACCGCTTTAATTGAGGACAATATGGTGTGACTTGCCATGCATTTTGCAACTCGCAAGGCATGGTAAGTCACACCCAGTGTGACCGGGGAGTAAATATACATGCACATTAACTGGACAAATTCACTTGCTTGCAAAATGTATGTAAATCAGGAAAGGCAAGGAAAAAGCTGTAATATTTTATCTGCATACATGATCTGTGCCATTGATTCAAATGGGTTGATTTGCTAAAGTTAAACAAGCTGTTAACTTTGCAAGGGAACTTGCTTACTGGATGTTGTAAAAATTCTCTTTGCAAAGAATATGTAATAGCGTGCAAGGAAAAAAAAACAGTATTTTGGCTAGTACATAAAGGGACAATGAGCTTCCCCTCATTCTCTAAGCTAAGGGAAAATGCCCTTGCAAAGTGAATAGCCTATTTACCTTCAGTAAATCAACCTCAAAATATTGAAAGCAGAAGATCATCAGGATGACAGAAGACAAATATCTTTTTTAGAATAAAAGGCCAGTGGTAGCGGCCTCCTTATTTCCTTTAAAGTAAAAGATAAGGCTAACTATAACTATTCTTAAAAACATTTCCTCCCCCTCCTCTTACTTATCTGCATAGTCTGTATAAAAAAAGTCTTATACCTACCTTTATTAATCTGATCCAATCATATGACCAGGGGCGGACTGACCATTGGGGAACTCGGGCACTGCCCGAGGGCCCGGGGTCAGTAGGGGGCCCCATGAGATGTCCCTGGTACCTTTCATAAGTTTTTTTGGGTGTGAATTGAGTGTGGGCGAGGACACAGGGGCCCCATGATCCCCTATTGCCCGGGGGCCCCATGCGTTGTCAGTCCACCCCTGCATATGACCCAGCATCTCCAGCTCCCCTATGTCAGAGAGTGCTGACAACAGACAGGCCATGGGAACCCATGGGTGATATTGCAGCCAGACATGTACGATTTGGTTCATTCAGATTTGTTTTTTGGATGACATTTTCATTTTTAGAGATCAGATTGTATCTAAATATCTGAATAGACATAGTAACAAATCATTTGGTTTCATTGAAAAGAGTTGGTTGTTAATGAATGAGCACCCACCACATCCTTAACCACTTGCTCTTCAGAGGATTTATCCCCTCTTCCTGACCAGGCCATTTTTTGCGATACGGTGCTGCGTTACTGTAACTGACAATTGCGCTGTCATGCAACACTGCACCCAAATTAAATTTACGTCCTATTTCCCCACAAATAGATCTTTCATTTGGTGGTTTTTGATCACCTGTGCATTTTTTATTTTTTGCGCTATAAACAAAAAAAGACCAACAATTTAAAAAAAACCAAAACTATATTTTTGACTTTTTGCTATTAAACATGTCCAGTAAAAAAATGTAAAACTGTATTCTGCTCCATGTCTTTGCTAAACAAAATCCTAATATGTGTAAATTAATTGGTTTACGTGAAAGTTATAGCATGTACAAATGGCAGTATATATATACTGGACACTGGACTAATGGGACTGGGCAGGAAGGGGTTAACATGTGGGGTGATCACAGCACTGTGTGCTGTTTTACTATGTGGGCTGTGTTTCACTGTAAGCACACTACTTTGTATGGCTCTGCTGAAATCGGTCCGCAAAATGCGGTGTGATGTGCAGAATTGGATCGCGTAGGTGTAAATACCCATGCGATCCGATTCTAGTGCAGACCAAAAACAGAGTCCTGCACCTTTTTGGTGTGGATGCGGTGCGATTTGAGCCATACAAAATGTATGGCTCAAACCGCACCGCACAGAATTCACATGTGCGGTTCCTGTGCGAATCACATGCGATATGCCACACCGCACAAATGTGATATAGTAGTATAGGCTAAAAACATTTGACTAGAAGGGGAATAACCATGAGGAAGACCTCTGCATTGTGTACAGAGTGTATGGAAATGTTTGTGCTCACCACTGTGACCTGCTATTGAACAGCTACAAAGAATAGATACAATGTTGCAGAGACAGAACTCTGTTGTTTAACAAGTTTACTGAACTGTAACCTTTCATAGATCACCTGGGGTAAACCATGGAGTTCTTGTCTGCACCATTGTACCCATTCAGTATAGGCATTTCCTCTCTGCAGTAGCTGAATCATTAGGCTCCAGGCACACTGGCCGTAATAAACTCCGCTTCCACTGTAGGTTTGTGTTTTGCCTGTAGAAGCAGCTTGGTGTTATCCTATGTGTCCATTCACATTACGACGATTAGAGACATATTTCAAGCTCAGTGTTTACAGACAGAAAAAACCCTTCTGGTTTGCATTTCTGATTTGTGCTTTCTGGCAGAAAAAAACGCTAAACACTCCTAAACATGCCTAAACATTGTACAAAAATGCTCTCTATGAGCGTTTATTTTCTGCAAAGGAACTGGTGTTTTTTTAAGCTCAGTGTGCATGGAGCCTTATACTGCTCCCAGTGAAATGCAACTTATAGGACCTGTCATATCAAACATATTACACACAATTTGGGTGTTATACAACACTTGTACAAATGCATTTACTTTTTATTTTTTTTTTAGACATACATGTACTGTGTTTATATCCCAGCTCCAGGACCCCCCTTCTGCCAACCAAGTCTTTTTCCATTTTATCCCCCCCCCCCCCCTCTCCTGAAGTCCTCAAGCTCATCATGTGGTATGCTGGGTTATCTTTCTTGTCTGTTTTTCTTCAGTGATGGGTAATCCTCAATCATATAGATAGTGTTGCTTATGTGATGATGTAAGTGCATTTTTTTTGCATCATTACACTGTGAGTACAGGGTTCTATGGTGACACCCTCTGACATCCCCTATGGGCCCATGTACAGTAGATGTGGGCAGGAGTGCACACACACAGATGTCTCCATAGGTCCCAGTACACGGACAGAGATACCTGAAAAGCAGAAAGGGAGGGGTCAATTTAGGAGAAGGCATTTTGGGAAAGAATAAACTATAAAGAAAAACAGACTGGACAGTATGGTAAGGGCTGAAGTCTGCAGCAATATATATATATATATATATATATATATATATATATATATACTAAATCGTTGAATTCAGATGTTCCAATCACCTCCACAGTCACAGATATAAAAAAATCAAACACCTAGGCATGCAAACTGCTTTTACAAAAATGTGTGAAAGAATGTGTCACTCTCAGGAGCTCAGTGAATTCAAGCATGGTACTGTTATAGGTTGACACTGTGCAATAAGTCTCATGAAACTGGGAACAACAGCAACTCAGCCACAAAGTGGTAGGCCACGTAAAATGACAGAGCGGGGTCAGCGCATGCTGAAGCGCACAGTGCTCAGAAGTTGCCAACTGTCCACAGAGTCAATAGCTAAAGACCTCCAAATTTCATGTGGCCTTAAGATTAGCACAACAACAGTGTGCAGAGAGCTTCATAGAATGGGTTTCCATGGCCAAGCAGCTGCATCCAAGCCTTACATCACTAAGTGCAATGCAAAGTGTCAGATGTTGTGGTGTAAAGCACACCGCCACTAGACTCTAGAGCAGTGGAGACGTGTTCTCTGGAGTGACGAATTACGCTTCTCTGTCTGGCAATCCGATGGACATGTCTGGGTTTGGCAGTTGCCAGGAGAACGGTATTTGCCTGACTGCATTGTGCCAAGTGTAAAGTTTGCTGGAGGGGGGAATATGGTGTGGGGTTGTTTTTCAAGGGTTGGGCTTGGCCCATTAGTTCCAGTGAAGGGAACTCTTAAGGCATCAGCATACCAAGACATTTGGGGTAATTTTCCTTTGTGTGAAAAGTTTGGGGATGGCCCTTCCTGTTCCAACATGACTGCACACCAGTGGGGTGGAAGAACTTGACTGGCCTGCACCCGATAGAACACTTTTGGGATGAATTAGAGCAGAGACTGCGAGCCAGGCCTTCCCGTCCGACATCAGTGCCTGACCTCACAAATGAGCTTCTGGACAAACATTCCCATAGACACACTCCTAAACCTTGTGGACAGCATTCCCAGAAGAGTTGAAGCTGTTATAACTGCAAAGAGTGGACCAACTCAATATTGAACCCTACAGACTAAGACTGGGATGCCATTAAAGTTCAAGTTGTGTGTAAAAAGCAGGCGTCTCAATACTTTTGGCAATATAGTGTAAACAGTATATATACTATATATACAGGGCTTTTTTTGAGTGGGAATGAGGTGGAACATAGTTCCAACATTTCCAGTACTGAACTGCTGTCTGCTGGAAGGTCTATTGAGGCTAGCTGCTGGTTGATCTATTGTCAGTGGAAGGGAAGGGATTTTTGTGTGGCAGGTAGGGGATCTATTGTTGCTGGGGAATGTCAGTTTTAGCTGGAAGGCATCTTCTGTTACAAGAGGGGTTTATTGCTGACTGCTGGAGAGTCTATTGATGCTGGCTGCTGGGAGATCTATTGTTTCTGGCATGGTATTTTATTGCTGAGGGGTGTCTATTGCTGCTGGCTGCGGGGGATCTATTCTTGAGCACCACAAAATGATACTTGGCTATGCATTCTCTAAAAGAACCAGGTTCCCATAAATGATTGCTCAGTTGTGCAGCTTTTCATATTAGGACTATGCCATCCATGTATCAGAGAGGAAATTGTAGTGACTGCTCCTGCTGGAACAGGCCCTGTCTACCCCAAAATCTGTTTGTCAAGAAAGTATTCAGAAGCATAACAAATGCAATAACCCTGTGGTGCCTGAATTTAGGCAGCGGATTTATTTGTCAAATCTTGAAAACCATGACAGGTTTGCGTAGTGTCTGCGGTTTTTAAAAACAATTGATGTGTTATTTTTTAAATATGTTTTTTTTAGAACTGGAAAAACGTTTACTATGTGCAATGCAATCTGGAGAGTCACAGGCCTGGAAGAAATTTTCAAATTATTTTCTGCCAAACCTTGGTAAAAAGAATCAGGATTTAAAAGCATGGGACATAAATCCCTTACTGCAAGCCTTTTTGTAAGTACAAGTAACGATTTTTCTGAATACTGAATGCTTTACTTTATCTAAAGAAAACTCACTACAGTAGTTTCATTGTATACCATAAACCACCGTTTTCCCAAAATTACAATCTTTACTTCCTAAAACTTTTGAATGTGTTTTGTAAGTATGGAGCAAAACAAATGTTTTTTTACATGATGTTACAAATATTTATTTGAATGTATATAACAAGTAAAAGCACATTTACATTGAGAATCTCATTTATTGTTACTTTGTTGTTACATTGTCCAGATTTATTCAATAGCAACAGTGACATTATAATAATTAGATGGTTAGAATTATGGCTAGTGCACACAGATATTTACAAGATGTTTATATAAAAAAAAAATAGATACAACTACTTGATGCATCAAATGCTGGTACAGTGGTAAATTATGTAGGATTGCTGATTCCACAATAAATTAAAAAATAGTTTCTTTCTAGAATTGGATGTAAATCCAAACTAGACTCTCAGTTTTTTTGTCTGTCAATTGTCCTTAATCACTGAATGTGGAAATTCACTCTTTCAATCAGCATGACTATTTGTAAATGTTATGCTGCTAGCATTAGTAAATAGATAAGGAAGTATATCATATTTTCTTGTTTTAAACTTTTTTTTACATTTCTTCAGTTACTTCCTGGTTTCCATGTCCAGGCAAATGATGTCATACATCCCAGGAGTATTCAGAACAGAGGGAAGGGAGGAGGGGTTTTCTCAGCTAAGTACTGCCTGCATGACTGAGCTAGGGGCAGAGGGGCAGGAAGTAAACTCTACACAAATCATATGCCCTTACTCAAGATGGCCACAGCCAGAAATGCTAGCGTGTGTTTTTCAAAGTGATTTCTCAGCACAATAAAGCATGGAAACATGAATAGATGGGCGAGTTTGCTTTGAATAATATACACTAATTAAATAGCATTTTTGGTTTGTGGTGCTGAAATGCAGTGTAGTTCCATCTTAAGCCCTCATTTAGACTTGTTTTGCT